TTTTAGTTTTATTTATTTTTATATTTTTTGATTCAAAAAAATGTAATTAATAAAATAATAAATAATATTATAATTGATTTATCCATTATAATTTAATACATTGAGAAAATTAGTTTCAATCTTAAAAGTATTTAAAGATGGTTATTAAAAGCAAAGGCCTTCACGAAGCTATTGCTAAAGTAACAGATAGAAATGCACCAAATGGTTCATGGGTAATTGCAGAAGTTATTGGTATGGGAGAGCGATTCGATTTATATGATGAAGGAGAGGGAATTGAATCTTTTAAAGAAGCATTGCCTGAAGATAATGTTTGCTTTTGTTTAATTTCATTGAGAATGACATATGATGGTGTTCCTAATATTGCACGAGTTGTTTTTGTTCATTGGAAAGGAAGTAAATGTAAAGGAATGAAAGTTGTTCGTTCAAACCAATTAACTCAAATGGCATGGGATGTTCTTCAACCTCATCATGGTCAATTAGAAGTTCTTTCAGCCGACGAGATCACAGAAGAAGTTCTTTTGGGAAAGTTAGACCCAAAAGGAGGTTCTCATGTAATCAGTTAATTTTTATTTTTTTTCAGATTTTTCCTCTATAATGTTAAGTCTTTTTGTAAAAAGTTATTCAAACAAATTATTTAGTAGTTTAGAAATAAATTATTGTATCGAAGAATTCGTATTATAGTCTATCGGAAAGAAAGAAAAAAACAATGGATTAGAAAGGAATGAATGATGATTATTTAAATTATAAGGAATTATAATGAATATTATTTCATACAATATTTTTTATAAAAAATTTTTGTTTGTATTTGATAATTGTTAAAATTGAATTATTAAATGATTTGAATAATATATAAATATTAATTTCAATACCTGAAATGAAAAGTGCATCTTTTTTACTGTTTTTTTGTTTAAATAAAAGATATTTTCAATTGAAAGTAAAAAATTTATACAATTTTGTTGTATTACCCATCAAATAGTTATTAAAATTATATTCTATTATTTATTTTTAGTAAATCTATGTAAAAAATGAGTGAAAAAAAAAAAGAAATAAAAAACGAATTATTATAATTTCCATAATATTTAAAGGAAATTAAATTTCAATATGAAAAAAACTATATTTAGGTTTAATATTTACTAAAAATAAGTATTTTCTTACTAATTAAAAAATAATATAAAATAATTTAAAATATTATTAATGTATTTAGTTTGTAGAGTTGTTTAACACGACGTTATGAATCATTATAAGAATATTAATTTTTTTTTATCTAAAAGAAAGGATAGTGACTTGAGAAAAAAATCTTGTTTATGAATTTCTATGAAATTAAAAGGATGAACTATTAAAAAAAGTAAGTTAATGAGCATTGAAACAAATACCATTTTATCTGAACCAATTCAATTTCAAAGAAAAAAAGAAGGCTTTCAGAAGACTCAAAATGAAAGTCAAATACACTCTTGTGTGTTACACTCTTCATTAGGACCAATGACATGTAAGAAGAAATCCAAGTCTTTACTTCATCATCATCATAAATTCAACACTACTGTTTATTGTAATCCAAAAACTTCTAAGAAGGATAACATAAATAAAGAAATTGATTGTCCAACTGATTTAGATGATGAAGATCTTGAAGTTTTAAATATTTTATTAGCTATTGAATCAAAAGGAAATGAAGATACATATTTAGATGATTACGAACGTTGTAAAAATCCAGGTATGTGTCTATCATTATTTTCATTCAGTCATTAACTGTAAATAAATATATATTACTTCTATTATTTTGTTTTTTATTTATTGATTTAATTATATATAAATAGATACTTTCTAAATATGAGTAATAACATCAGTTAGTTACTAAAATAACTATAATTCGATGTTCTATTTTTGATAATAATTTTTTTTAATGGTTTTTTTGGTTGAATAAAGATGCAATTGCATTTGTAAATTTATTACATGATGTAATTCAAATTATGTTTTATATAACGAAAAAATATTCTTTTTTTATTATTCTTACTCTATTTTGATTTTTGAATATTAATTATTTTAATATATTGTTATTTGAGAAATTCATAACTAGAATATGAAATTATTAATAAAATTAGTAATAAAACTAAAATGATATAATAAAGTAATTGATAATAAGTTTTGTTGCTATATTTTTATTCTTCTAAAAATTCAATGAGACATTATTTGAGAATAAAATAAAAGGATTTGATGTAGAGTGTTTAATTTTATTTATTTTTTTTAATGGAGAGTATTAGTCCAATTTATTAATAATTTAATAAAACAATATTTGTTTTTAGAATAAATTAAGAGAGAGATTTAACATTTCAAAGTAATAAAACACAAATTCAAATAAGAGAAAGTGTTATTTATAAGTAATGATAAGGAGTATTTTATTATTAAAATAGAAATAATTATTAGAATATAGTCAAAAATGATATTTACGATAAATAAATTAATGAATTAAAATGTTAAAGATTTAAAGACTTCAAAACATTTAAAGAAGCTTTTTCAGTAAGACGTTTCCATTCATTAACATATGATAAATTTTGAATAGAAAACATTAACTCTTCAATATCAATTTGACCTGCATTTGATTCCAATATAGTGATAATTGTATTAATAGTATCAAAGTTTCCATCATTTGATAATATTCTTAAATATTTCCATCTTCCTTCTTTTGAATTATAGCAACATTCTAACACTGCATTTTCATCAGCATTATATTTAATTTTATCAGCTTCTAATAAACACAGATCACGATTATCAAAATTAACTTGTTGCAAATAAACAACAGAAGTATTATAATAAGATTTACAACATAAAGACACTTTACGAGAATTTTTATAAAATTGTTCTTGAATTCCTAATTTACAAGTAATTGTATCATTAAATTGCCATTTAAAGAAATAATTATTTGTAAAAGGAATATACTCAGAGTTTGGATAAAATAAAAATCCTTCAGTTAAATGGAATCTTTTTCCATCAATATAAGTAATTCCATATTTTGTTTTTTTCATAGCTTCAAATAATTTAGTAATAAGTTTAATTTCAATAAATGGTTTTGTATTTAAAAAGAATATAATTTCATCATCTGGAACATTATTTTTTGAAATTTCTTCTCTAAATTTTAAAATAATTTCTTTTCCTAAAATTTGAAGTCTTTCAGTAAACAAATAGTTAGTTGTAACTGTATTTTTATAAATTAAAATATCATTACATAAAAAGGTTGGTTTTTTTGTTTGAATATTTTCTATCATTTCTCCATCAATAATTGTTAATCCTTCTTTATAAATAGTTGAGATTAATGGATATTGAACACTAAACACATTCATTTCTTCATCAACCAACAACACCTCATTATTATCAATCATTAAAAAATATTTTTTTCCTTTAGATTTTTCACAAAGTAAGTATTGTGGTAATGCTTTATCATGAAACCTAATATTATGAAGTATTTTATAATGTTGTCTACTTAGAAATATTGGGATAGTTCCTGGAAATACTGGATCTGTTGGTAATTCATATCCAAATACTTTAAATATTTTTTCAAGATATTGTCTACTTAATTCTGATGGTATTTGTTGAATATCTATTTGTTCAATTCCATTTGTTTCTATATTATTAATGTCTTTAATTGTATTATAAATATCACTACATATATTATGAATTATTGCTTCATCATTTGTTTTGTTAATTCTAATTCTTAGACAATGTTCAATTGTTTTCTCTACCCATTCTTTTCCTTCTTTTTGATATTTACTAACTTCTTCTGCAATAATTATATATTCAGAATGGTCATAGTATTTTTGTTTACTTATTGTCTTTAAATTCATTGAATCTCTTGCTTCTTCTTCTTCAATTTCTTTTAGGTATAATCCAAATTTAATATTAAAATCAAATACTAAACCACTCTCAATTCTTTCTTCTTCAAGTATTTCAAATCCATTCATTTCTTGTGTATTCTCATCAATCCATATCTCTCTAACTTTGCTTTTCATAATCTCCTTTATTTCTTCTTTAGTTTCTTTTTCATATGTTAGTATTTCATAATATCGTCTTGTAATTCCTTCAATAAATTCATCTCCATCTCCATCTTCTATTTCTTATTTCTTTTCTTCATTTTTCCTTTTTCTTTTAAAACAAACTACTTCTTCCAAACTCAATTTCAACAAAATCCGGTTGTTGTTCAAACCCTTCAATAACTTTTTCTTCAAACACTTCAAAACAACTTCGTTTTGGTTCTAATTTGAAATTCTCTAGTACCTCCATTCTTTTTCTTTTTTATGTTTTTTTAAGTTGATTGTAGTTGAAATAAAAAAAGAAGAA